GTGTGTGTGTGTGTGTGTGTGTGTGTGTGTGTGTGTGTGTGTGTGTGTGTGTGTGTGTGTGTGTGTGTGTGTGTAAAAGCTGCATAATGGTCTTCTGACATAAGTCTTCACCTTCGCCTGCAGGTGAAGCATACACATCGTTTTAACGTTGTCTTGTAAAACACTCAGGTTTTTAGTGTTTCCCTGAAACATTGCTTTCTTCTTTGCATATAAAACGAGTCTCATCTCAGGCTCATCTTTCGACGTTGTGCGTGGCCCTTCCCCCTCGTGCTCTGTACAGGTGTGCCTGTCCCAGTTTTGCAGTGTTGGCAGATTTCTGCACCGTGGCTATGACGCTGTAACTGTTGAATGTGGATGCATTTCTTCTCTTATACCATTTTCAGACGTTTCTTTAGCCATATGAGGGTGACTTTTGTAATTATCCCGAAAAGACTCAAAATGATTGGCTGTTTTGTGCTCCTCCAAAGCTGCAAACTTCCGCACAACCTGCAACTATGTGCGTCACATTTTACAGGGGGAAGAAAAGAAAGAGAGCGATGCCTCTGCCCGTGTAGACCGCATGACTCCCGTCCCAGTGTCATCCATAGGCTAACATGTGCGTCCCATGCGCGGACCTGTCTGTGATTCTCAGCACGTAAAGCAAGAAAGCTGTCAGCGATGTATTTATGACGTCGAAGTTAACAAGCCCTGCTAGGTCTCACACGCCATCAGCCGCCTGTTCAGCCTGTCCCGGCCACCTTTTGTCTCCATCCCTAACATGCGATGTTAACAGCTTAATGCAGCTTCTACATGGCTCGGAGCAGAGTCAGCCCACAGCAGAACGCAGTGTTGGGAACAACCTTCTGCTTGAACGAACCGGCTTTGGAATAATTTATGTCCCGCCCTGCGTCCTGTGAGTGAATGATGTGACGGGACGTTGTAGTGGATGTTACATGGCTGTGATCATACGTGCGAGATAGAATATGTGCGTCACATGGAGCTTGTTGCTTGTTCATTACCGAGACTACATAAGTAATAAGCACAGGAATCTACGACGCAGGTGTCCCAAAACCTGTGGTCATTATTTCGTGCTTTCATCACAATAACAGCCTCTCAAAAACATTGATTAGTTGGATCTTATCTCATAGGTTGGTTATTGTTCCAGTTCATTTTCACACTCTATTATGGGATGAACCTAATGTGTTTCTATTGATAGTTTTTGTTGGAGCAGCTTGATATAAGCTCAGCTAATATTGCCACTATTAGCTTGTCTTCAGGGACAATTAAGGATGAATTGGAGCTATTAACTTATCCAACCTGTCGATCCATATTAAAAACATAAACAACAGTGTACAACAAGTGCATTTTGACAAAGGTATTGATTTACGCTTAAATCTAAGAATGTATGACCCATTTGTTTATATATAATGCTGGTTAGTACACATTAAAGAAGTACATATGTATTATTTTCCACATAAAATTTGAATGAGCGTTATTTTTCTCCAAAAATGCATCAATCATCAGGGAACAGGAGCATAAGCTGACTGTGCTGTGTGTCCCTGTACAGCTTTTCAATGGATTCCTGTAATTAAAGCCTGTCCTCCAAGTCATCAACTCCACAGATTTGTGAAACAAAGAAAAGAAACACCACACCACAAGCCGGTACTGCAGGCCTGCCGTCATCGTGCCCCTGACACGCACTGCACTGGATCTGTCCGTGGTGCTGATGCTCATTTTCACACGCTAAATCAGCTCTCTCGAGTTCAGGGTCAGCTTGTGTGCATTTACCATTTACAGAAGAAGTGTCTTGCCTGCAGCCTTTGATGGCTAAGGGAAATGTATTGCTGAATTATCCCTGAACAAACCCTAACCCTGCAGACCCTTTCAATACACCGCTAAGGTCCACAGTTATGCAGGCAAGTGACTAACGCTCAGTATTTTAAAATGTCTATTCACATTTTTTTTACGTGCAGCTCCTGTTGCTGCTGATCTGCTGTTTGTGAGCTGATTACAGAGACTGTCATATCTGCAAGACAAATGCAGGGATCTGACTTGGACACAGATGTGGCAGTGTTACGGTGGTGTGCTCACTCACATTTGAAAAGCCTCTTAAAATCTATATCTCTACATTTAGAATGAGATGAGGAATAGATCTTACTGTTGCCTTATGTTTCACATACTTTGGTGCCATATGTGGTTTTATTTAAAAGGAAATTCAAATCGGTTTTTCATCAAATATAATACAGTAACACCTGTCATGTCACTGTTTTTTTGTCGTTGTTGCCCATAACACTTGGTGGAGGCTTTCTTGTGTTTCTACAGTAACATGTCAGCAACAAGTTACTGGTGGGATGAACCAGCTGTTTGAAATATTTATCCCTTCTCTATGTCTTTATTATAAACATAAATGCACTCGAGTGGGAAGAAGATTCAGGGGAAAACATCACACAGCTGTGTAAAGCCAGCTGTATATCCCAAATGGCATATTATAATAGTTTGCATCAGTGAGTAAGCGCTTATTTAATTCCACCAATTCAGATTGTGTAATTCTGGTCAGCGTACTGAATCTCTGTCATTACTGTATCTGTACTGAAAGATAAGCTTGTCTAGCAGGCTACAGCAGTTTAATGCTAATCTGGACTTATTCATGTGTTTCCTGCAGTTTTCTGCGCGTGCAGGAATTAATGCCCTTCACATTTCCTGTTGATATGGATCTCTCTGTGATCAGAGAAAATGTTTTGCCACCTTAATCTTAACATAGCAGTTTCTTTACTACCTATCAAGTTATGTCAATAGGGGCACCAGTAACTAATGTTTTGGTCAAGTCCTGTACACCATTAAATTTCCATACCATGTTAAGATGAGCTCTCTTTTCAATATGCTAATACTGTTGTTTGTTTTCCATTAACAGCTGGTTACATCAGTGACTACATCAGCCCTGTTGTGTACGATGGTGAGAGTGACAGTGGCATCAAGGTCCCCTCTCCTGATCCTCTCTACGATGGTATCCACAGTGACTATGGGGCTCCCGACTCTGAGTCTCCTGACAGCCCTGGCTCAGAACTCACGGATGGTTATATCAATGGAGACGCTGCAGTGAGCGAGGGTTACACAGTCGATGCATTCTTCATCACCGATGGCCGCTCGAAGAGGAAAGCTCTCAGCAGCCCCAGGACCATCCAGAGGCACACCTGTAACGAGTGCGGCAAAACCTACGCCACGTCTTCCAACTTGAGCCGGCACAAACAAACGCATCGCTCGCTGGACAGCAAGCTGGCAAAGAAATGCCCGACCTGCGGGAAGGTGTACGTGTCCATGCCCGCCATGGCCATGCACCTGCTCACTCATGACCTCAAGCACAAGTGCGACGTGTGCGGAAAGGCGTTCAGCCGACCTTGGCTTTTACAGGGCCACATGCGCTCGCACACAGGGGAGAAACCGTTTGGGTGCGCCCACTGTGGGAAGGCCTTCGCAGACCGCTCGAACCTGCGCGCTCACATGCAGACCCACTCGGCCTTCAAACACTTCAAGTGCAAACGCTGCAACAAGACCTTCGCGCTCAAGAGTTACCTGAACAAGCACTATGAGTCTGCCTGCTTCAAAGGCCCCTTCTCTCCTCTCGGCCCCCTAGATGCATGACCCCCCCATATAGATCAAACGAGACAAAACTGCAGACGTGAATTACAATTACCCTTACGGACTTAACTGCAGACACAAACAATATATTTTTGGGTCAGAATGTGACCTTGCTTTCCCTCCTCACCCCTCCTCACTGGCCCTCTGCCCCCTCCCCCACCTCGCCTCCCTTGGAGCCTATTCGTGATAATGAATATGATGAAGATAGCACAATTTTTTCTCCTTGAGATTTGCCCACTTAAGGATTTAACTGATCGACGCATGCACTTCCTCAAAAAACAAAACAAAACAAAACTCTTCACGTCCTCTTCCTCTGTCCATTGAGGATGGAGACATTAATACTGACTTCCTCCTGGCTTCTAGATACAGTATGACTCCGTATATTTTGGAAAAAGGGATGACGATGAGGATGACGACAAAGACAATAGTAAGCCTATAGCTACTAGTTTCCTCCCTGCACTCAAATGCAGTGAAAGTTTTTTCATTCTGATGTTGTTTCTTTTTTGGAAGAATTATAGTAATAATAATAGTAATAATAATGATAATAATGCTCTGCTGCACCAAGTGACCATATTCTCTCCACTACTGAGGTCAAAATACTATTTATTTATTTATTGATTTATTTGTTTTGACATTTTTTTTTCTTTTTTATGTGTTTATACTTGATTTGATAACAATGAAAAGTGTTGCCATTTATTTGTTGCACTTTAATTTCTGTATATGTATGTAGGATATTTGCCAACCTCTTTTTACCACTACAGGCCAAAGCATATGTCACTTTTTTGAGTACTATTTTTTCCTATTATGTTGTTAATACCTTTTTTCTTATTAACGTTATTGCATGCAAAAAAAAAAAAAAAAGAAAACAGAAAAATATTATGAAAACCTATGCCAACATCATAAAAAGCTTATGATTTTTGCCAAAATCCTATAGCTAGAACCCGAGGGCAATATTATTATTTTTTTCTCTTGGAGCCTCCATAGGACTCTTTAAAAGCAATAATCACTTAATGCATGGTATTTTATGATGAAGTTATGAAGTATTACCTACTACTGTATAGCAGTTTAAAAATCAGGTATGTTTTACTTCACCTATAGTCATAAACAGAAAAAATACTAATATTACAGACATCAGGGAACATGCCAATGTAGTGTTAGAGTATCAAAAAGAAAAGTCCTGTCTTTCCTCTCTTGTTATGCACTGCCTGCCTCTTAGTGAGTAGAACTAATGTAGGATGTAGACTAGAGAGGCTGGGATCAGCTGCCTGCTGGGTGAGAGGCCTATTGTAGGATAACTACTGTATGACCCTGACTGCCCTGCTCTGCAATAGCTCTAGTGATTTAATTGTTAACAAAAACAAACAAGGCCTTACTTTGGCTCAGGCCTTTTCCTTAGATTGGATACTTAGATTGGATAATTGGCCATACATCAAAATTCAGTGGTTTACTGATGTTTATGAGATGGCAAAATGACACTTAAATGTGTTTAAACAGTATTTCCTGTCACAGTCGGCCAAGTTTAATAACACCAATTTTATCTTTATGTTAAGGTTAAAATAGCAATCAGATTGGATAAATATGCAATAAGATATCCATCACCCTTAATTGACAGCTAGCATATATGACATGCAGCTGCTATCTGTTAACAACAAAGTTTAGTTGAAGTTGAACCAAAGTCGACTTCAGCCGAAATGCAATTACTCATCTGCTCTTCCGGTTCGCTTCCAACCCATAAAGCGTGCTTTCTTAAACCACAGGAACAGCATGCACTTTAGCTTGATGGTCAGATTGCAGCTTAGCTACAACTGTTGTAGATACACCAGACTGAGTCCTGATTATTCTGCAGTAGGCCCCACTCACCCCTACTGGGCCAACTGAAGGGTAACTCTAAGATCGAGAAACCTACGGACAGGCTAACTTTAATCAACCCCGACCCCATGGAAGATTTAACCTTTAATCTAGGTGGTCAATACCAGTGTTGCTGAACCCAGTTCTCTGCAGCTCAGAAACCTTTTCTACAGATTCATGGAGCTTCCCAGGAGACAGACTGAGGACACACAGATTTGCACAGGAAAATGTTTGTGTGTTCATCATAAAATGCAGCACGTCGACATCGTGATCTCGCATAGAAACATAAACACGGGTGCACAGATGCATGGGTGCACGTCCTCACATGTGAGCACACGGTGCCTGCTGACGAGCCATTTGGGGTGACTAAACTTTTGTGTACAGTGAAGCTTGAGCAATTAAAAAAATAGAACAGGTTTAATATTCAGATGTGAATCTTTAACAAAGAAAGCTTTTTGTAATTGCAGTGCTTCCTCAGACACTCAGTGTAAGTCCGGACTGGCCCGTATTGAACACAGTTTATAAGGGCACACGGACAAAAGGACATCACGGTTATGTGGATGCATTAGCTAAACCAATTTTTATCTCAGAGATGAATGATCAAAGGCAGCCATGGTTGACAATTTTATAAAGTCAAAAAGTCTACAGTTTGTGATAAATGCTTTGCCGCACAATAACACAGTACAATACAATTATATTTTCCAAAGAAACTTTTTTTAAAGGCAATATTAAAGGAAGCACTTCTGTTGTGACTGAGGGAATCAGTGTGTGAGTCAGCAAATTGTAGGTCTTATCTCCTTTCTTGATGTATGAACTAGATTTGAGCTGCAATTACTTGAATTGTATCAGATGATTAGTCATAGCGCTCCAGTCTGTTGTGGCCGAGCACTTTTGCCTTTTTATGTATGATTTTGGCCAAAATACCCAACAACAGTTATAAATACAAAAAAGGCAAACAGCTGCAAAAACAGTGTTAAAAGCATGATTGCGATTCCCTTTACGCAAAGAGAACAAAAGCATCACCTTTATTTTTCTACACACGTTTCTCAGACACTGATAGTAGACGTAAGAATAGGACAAAAAAGGGTGAAAGTATCATCTCTGCAGTTTCTCTAACTGTTTACTTATCCCAAATTGTATCATTGTAAACTCTGGTTGAAACTTTGCACTGTAGTCTAAATGTATTAGGGCTAAAGTGGACGTGTGGCTGTTAAGTGGTTTTTAAAGGAGAAAGGATTCGTTTTGAGTCTGTTTGTCTGTGTGTCTGTCTCTGGCCAAGCTCCTGGTCTGGCCTCTTTAAGCACTTCCATTTTAGTCATCTCCACCCTAAAGAAAGTAGCACAATGAAACTAACTAGAATTCAGGTAGAGAAGAATTAAAAACCTTGTACTAGCTTGACCTCTCTTCTTTTTTGTATTTTCAAGTTAAAGAATGGTAATAAACCTAAATAATCATTTATTGCAAGAGGGTTTGTAAAGAATCCTTTGGATTGAGACATTTTTACTGCTGTATAGTGATATCTGACACACCTTACCTCAGGAGGGTTGGATCTCTGTTGCAGAGTGAGGACCTCCTGGGTTTTTTTGAGCCAGTATTCAGACAATGTAAGCACAATGAACACAAAGCATTTTGTGGCACTTCATAATAAAGAATAATCTTAACGAACCAAGGCAATTTGTTGTAGTCTGTGTCATGTCTTAAGAAATATGTATTTCCTACTATCCAAGATAATAGAAATCAGGAAGTAATTTGACCTGCAGGTAATGGACACTGTGTTAATTGATTTAGTTATTAAAATTCCTGTTAGCTTTTTCTTCTTCTTCAGTTCATGCTGTTGCAGTGAGTTTGCCTTTTAAGTCAAAAGAGTGCTCAGTTCATTTGCATAGAAAAACACTTGCTCTGATTAAACAGCCCATACTTTGCATTAGCTTTGTCAATATTGTATGTTTAGACAGGCACTGGGCTAACATTAAACTCAAAGCTGACTTGATGGTTAAATATGTTCACCGTGATAACTCTGTATTAGGACATTAAACACTTGTTAAGTAGGGGAATGTTGGACTTTTTTTTTTTCAGTAAGGCATTTGTTAATAACCTTATTGGATAAATCGAAGTCAAAGATAACAAAACCAACAAACCCTGATTGATGCTCAGAAGCATGTGATCCAAAATTATTTCCAAACCAGAGAGTAGACCCCCGAGGGAACAGAAAAAGCATGGATTTATAGACCTACAGTCCTAAATGTTTGAGACAGTAGTCTAGTCACTTTTCATCCCTAAAAAGTACTATGTGTGCTACTTTAACTCAAAGCTTTTGCAACGTAAACTGCAAATGTGACAACGCTGTTTTCATGTGCCGTGCTATGCCAGAATGAATCCCATCACTTCCTCCCCTCAGCTTGTTTCATTCACGCTGGAAAAAATGCAAAAAACCCAGTCTGATTGTTTTATATTACATCTGTTTCTCTGATAATGGACAACACATTAAGCATGCACTACAGTACAGCTGCAGCTGTAAGTCTGCTCCACTGTATCAATCATGTGGTAGCTCATCCTTAAGTGAAGTAACAGTTCAGCCCCGATGTTTGCTCCTAGTAAGCACAGACACTCCAAATCTATTGTTGCTATGCCAACACCTGTGGTATCCAAGGCAATAAACTATCTACAGTATCTATAGTGGTAAACTACCTGAACTGCTTCAACAAAGACACAATGCAGAACCCTGCAGCTTTGTGGAGTATATTTGCCAACCCTAAACAGAAGATTGGTTTCTCAGCAGTTGTATGAAGACAGAAAAGTGACTGCCCACGCCTATGAATCACCTTCTCCTCTCCCAACCTTGCCTTTCAACTTCCCCTCTGATCCTCTTGGTTTTCTCTTCCACCTCTGTGCCTCCTCTTCCTCCTTCTTCACATCTGGGTTTCCTTTCCTCCCCCTCTCATCTCCCTCCCCTTTGCCGGCATCACCTGTTTGCTTCTCTCACACATCTCTCTTCCTTCCCTTTTCACTTGTCCTCTACCATCCCTCTTCCTCCTGCCACCTCTCTTTTCTCTCTCCTGCCGAGTCAAACCAGGCCACCAGGCCTTTGAGGACCTGAAAGTCATTTAACTCCTGGTAGATAATAAGTCTTAGAATATAGCTCCTCTCAGATAATAAGCTTTATCACTTGATTGCTCTGCACGCTCCCTACTGTCTTTAGATTCATGTCCAGGGACCTACTCAAGCGAATCACACTATTTCCTCCCTGGCAAGTCAAATTAACACTGTGTGTGTTGGTGTGTGTGTGCATGTGTGTATCAACCACTACTTGTAACAGGAAGTGAAGGACTGCTGAGGGTGCAAAATAAAATCAAAATACCACAGGTTATATTCAGATAGTTCACATCTGATCTGTGAAAACTGTAGTTAAGTTTAAAGGTCCCCAGTAGTGACATTAACCTCTTCACTTAACCTCACGCTGACTTTAATTTCGATGGCATTTGATAACAGCGCAGAAACCTCTACACCTGCCCTCTTTTCCACACTCTTTTACTTTCTTTGATGTCATCGTTTCTGCTGTCCACCTCCACCCATCTTTCTCCCACATCGTTTAACTCTGTGAACCTTTCAACACTCCTATCCTCACAAAATGCACTTTGTCATTAGTATTTGACTTGATCACCATGTTTTTGATGCAGGCTATGTTAATTCTAATGCAAAAAGTAACTAAAAATGATGACACTGTCAATTAACAATAGTATATCCAGTCAGAACGCGTGCACATTTTTTGACTTTCGTTTTGAAGAAACGTACTGGGTCTGTCACCTCTTGCACCCAACTTATAGTGAAATGGCAATAGGACCAAATCAGTCTGGTGTCAGTTTGCAATTGAGTGGAATCAAGTTGGAGACTGTATGCAATCTGTTTGTGATAAGTGAAAATTGCAAATATGTTGACATACACAGAGAAATTCTCACTTAACAGAAATTTGTTGGAATATGCTTGTGTTTATAAATTACATGTCAATACTTTGT